GTACACATGATGGTATAACTTATTACAGAAATATTTCAACTACCCTACAACGAAAGTCATCTAGTTTCTACAAGAGCTTACAAGATTTTACTGCTAGCTTTCACTAATCAATTAATATGTCAAATTGATATACGTTTGTATATCTGTTTGCGTGTGTGTGTATATACCAAAAAAATGTCCCATTTCTAAAAAACATTTAATTAACTGTGCTGATATTAGCACTGGGCCCNTATTTCTTGTTTCTTTTCCTATATATATGAATGTTGCCCATTTCGTTTTTGTTTTTTGTTCTTCTGAATTCTCTGTAATGTTCTGCTTTTTTGCAATGTTTTGTTTTCTGTTATTTGTAGTTAGTTTTGTAATTATATCTATGTTGAACTTGTTATTTATNATGAATCAGTTCATACAGTAGGTCTATAAATAAATGCAAATATTAAATCTCTCTTTACTCTATGTTCCTTTTTGGTACCAAGTGAATTTTGGCAAAATGTCATTGGTGCTTCTTTCCAATAATTCTTGTTAATAAAATGGAATGGGTTAAAACTGCTGCTACTACTACTACTACTATTATATTATAATCAACAATATTTTAGGTGACAATGGAACGAACATGGAGAAAATCAATAGACGGATGGAAGAGAAAGATATTTCCAGGAAAGAGAAAGAAGAGAATGAGGGAGAAGCCACAAGAAGTGCAATTAATGCTTCAGGTACTGTAGCTCACAAGAAGTTGAATGTTATTGTCAGGTGTATGAAATACAAATATCATGGGTTTGTGGATAGGATGATTGCAATTATGGCATCTNAATATGGGGTTGTGGATTGGATGATTGCATTTAATGCACTTTTACAGTCACACGATACAGGACTATAGATGCAGCGCTACTGCATTTCTACATACATTCCAATTCATTGATGCACATACACTAAGTTTATGATATTTAGTTAGTCCATCCTGTCAACTGCTTTATCACAGTCTCGCTGAAAATTCAATTAACACACGTAGAGTACAGGGCACAGTCTAGTAATTTCCTGCCATTTCTTCTCAATCACCTTTGATCACTATCTCCAGAAATCAACTGAATTAAATANTCCTCATAATCCAACAGGCTGGAATCCTGGAACTTGGCACTTCATGAATCGTTCTGAGAAGTAATTCTGTCGCAGTAACATGCAATGCAGGCCCTTAGTGTTGTGAGTCTTTGATACTGTCACACTTTATAGACAATCAGCTAACAGATGACAGTGAGACTGTCAGCTTTAGATGCTCTCTGGCCCTGTATTGCCCAGGAAGATTACTGATACTCAATTGTGATACAGTTTCATTTGACCGCAGGGTCATATGATTTCTTGAATATTTAAAGCAGTTCATTTTTTAATATAAAATAATCCTCCTTTAGTTTTCCTAAAGAAAGAAAAGTAAGCTGATGAAGGCAAACTCGTACAATAAGTCGGTTATGTTTTGCTTCTTTACAAGAAATTGCAAAGTATTATTTCTTT